TTGATCTGCCCCGGCTGATTATATTCCTATATTCTAGTGGCCCAATCGTATGAATCTGAACAAACCTGCCAAATGCTGAAGATATGATAGGTGCTAGAATTATTAATTGTTACCATGTTCGGAGAGGACATTCCAAGTATCTTTGAATCTCTAATGAGCATCTTTCCACCAATGCATACTGAGTAGGGTTTATATATGCGGTAGTAAATTGAGATAATTGGTTGTTTACCACAAAAGTTAATATGATGGTCTGGTGGTATGGTTAGTCAAGTACGAGACTAGTTTATTACTCATTATCGAGTCTTTCCTATATGTTATGCATTAACTTTTCCATCTAATGATTATTGAATATCATATGATAGTACAACAATGTAAGCTTCCAAAGTCATTGAGTAGCAACTAGTTGCTGTCAAAGGAAGGTTAGGTCTTGCAACAAATAATTATGCGCTATTATTACTTTTCTAGTTCGTAGACAAAGAATTAATACCTGACATAGGATATGTTTACATGTGGCGCGACTCCTTTTCTATTAATTCTTCAGAATATTTTTTACTAAGGTTTACTCAGAGATATGTCTATTTGTGGCTTAGGGGTTAGATTTGCATAGTTTTTTATGTTCAGACTTTTGTGATTATCGGTGATTTGGGGTTACTTCTCGCCTGGATGTCCGGCTTCGGTGGCTGGGACTGTCTGAGTGAAAGGACTCGCGCATCCGTGTGCTCCCCATGCTTCGCAGAATCGGAAAGCCACGCGGAGAAGGAGAAGCTGCCGCGGATGATAGGGGAGGACTGGACCGTTCGGGTGGTGACAGGCCGCCCGGAAAAAACTCAGTGGAGGGAGGAAGAAACGAGAGGAGCGGGTCGCGCGCAAGGCGCTGGCGAGAACGAAGGGGAAAAAGAGAAAAGCAAAAAAAGGAAAAAAAAAATCTTGGGAGCTTCCTAGAACCATTCCGTGTTCGATGCGAACGGTTTGGTCTAATTTAATGATTTGGCTCCGATTTTTGGCCTCGGTTTAACAGGTTTTTCACTGGTTTTCAGCTATTTGGTGGTTTTTGAAAGTGTAATTTGGTTTTAAGGCCCGGTTTTGATTTATTTTAATTATTTAAGTTTGTTCATAAATTTTCTTCCCTTACTCAATATTTCATGAAATATGAACAATATGATATTTGATTTTTTAGGAAAATTAACTTATATAATATACAATAATAGATTAATGTGCGGAACTTCATATTGTTATTCGAACATTTAACTGTCTCGTTCAAAATTTTTACATTTACAGCCCACACGGTCAAAATTCCCGATTTTTTTAATTAAATAAATATCCAAAAATTTCAAAAATAAAAATTCGGGGTGTTTCATTTATGAATATGAAACTTGTAATTGGATTTATTTATTTTTTCTTTTAGATATAATTAAATGTTGATTGGGTTTAACTTATTCTTGAATATATTTAATGGTTTATGATAATTTATTTTTATTTTTATAAACATAACCTTATACTGTTCATACATGCATGTTTCTCCACATTTTCATTTTGTATATTTTCCCTTCCATATTCTATTTACATACAATATAATCTAATCTATTTTGTGAACTCTTATGAATGAGATTATGAATGGTGAACAAATTGTACACTGCCTATGTTGTATTTATTTTCTTCATTTTATAAATTTGCAACCAAAAACAAGAAAAAATAATTTGAAAAAAGACTATAAAAATGAAACTCAATAAAGTGACAGAAAACACATCTAAATACGATATTCTATCATGATTTATTTTGTAATTTTCATTTATTGACTTGACTTTATTTTTTATTTTCAACATCAATAAATTTCATAAAATCATGATCTTCCAGTTGCAAAAAGGGCTATTTTAGTAATCAAATTTTTGCCTAAAATTACTATTTGATTTTTTTTTTCCTTTTGTAATTATTATTTCTTTGATTCTAGTTAGAGATTTTTATTTCTCTTGCAACAAACAAATGGCCCATTAGTGATTAAGCATTTGTTATTTTCTTGTTATTTTTTCCCTAAATCATAATTTAATTGAATTGAAGGAAAATAAGGAACAAGACCATCCTTTAAAAATGGATTGACAGTGATGATATGCTCTGCTCTGGGATTCTTTCTTCTATTCCTTTCCCCACCATGTTTTATTCTAACTGTCGTCATTCAATGAGATCATTATAATTAGGAATGAAAGATACAGAAATTACATACATTTTAATTGAGAAATTAAAGGAAAATTGGAAATGCGAATGTCAAATATTATATATCAAGTCATTTTCAATAGCAAAAAGATGCATAATCAGAAGAATAATATTCAATTATCAGGATATAAAAAGTAGCTTTCTTCTATCCTTTTTTTCATTTTTGCTAAATAAATACCACATCATCTATATTTATTTTGCTTTACTTCCCAGATTTTTAATTAATTCAAAAAGAACAGATAACAATTACCATAATAAACTATAATTAACATAAAGTTGCAATACATATGTATTTCTATGTATATATTTAAGAGTAATACATAAATTAATTAAGCTTTTTGATATTATTAAATGCTAAGAAGAAGAAGAGCTCTATTTCAGGAGGAGCAAAAAAGGTAATAGAAGAAGATGATTTCTTATTATTAGAAGAGCACTTAGGAGGGTATACCCTTCTTTTCATTGGAGCAGGTGGACATGGCAACACCTTTGGTATTTTGAATCTTTGAGCCTTTGGTGTAGAACAGGAAGAACCCTTTTCACCATCTTCTTGGACATCTTCGGAGTTCCAAGAACAAGGCAGATCCATTGGTGTAATGTCTTTGCTAATTCTTGAAACAACTTCTTGTTCTTGCTTCTTGAATCTTGATCTTGCTTTTCTTGTATTTGAAGGTGCCATTTTTGAGATGTTAGAACTTGAATAGCACATGCATATATGAATTTTTGATATTGCTGTTTATTTAAATGGCAAAAAAAGTTTGGTGTATCTTAGTGACTGAATATTTTATTTAGTTTTTATAAAGCAGGTGAAATTGAAATGGGATGAATAAATATAAAAAAAATCAACCAACTTTATTGGTATTTTTTACTTTATGCGGAAAACTAATATTGAAAGTGTATAATTGTGAGAAAAAATAGAAAAATAATAATTTTTATTCATATTTTATAATAGAAAATTTATTCACTCAATATATGTAATAAATAAATATAATATCTCTAAATTCTTTAAATATGAAAATTGAGGAAAGTGTTAAGAAAGTGGGAAAAGTAGGCAATAGTACTTTGGAAACTTGGAGGACTTTTGCAAGAAGAAAGCAACAGAAACATTCCAAGATACCCATTTAATAAGTAGTTGAAATCTTGAAAATTTATGCATACAATGAGTAAGTCCAAAATAATGTTACAGCAGCAGCAGCAACTGCCACCACTAGAATACCAAAATTATTCAAAAACTCTACCAAATCTTGATAAGATTGGTCCCTTTTTCAGGAAGGAAATTAATTTATGCAAACTTTTAGAAATAATATTTTAAAAAGTGATGGAATGATTTCCAAATTATATGCACAGGCCAGGCCAGCATAGGCGTTATATGTAAAAGTTAGGCTAAGTCACTACAAGAAGGATTCACCTTTAACGTCTTCGGTCAATATTTTTAGTACCTCATACTTATTTTTCTTTGTTAATTATACCCTTTGTCCAGAATTCGTTAGTTGGCTCCACATCATATTAATTCACATTCTTATGGCTATTCTTTCACTGTTCATCTTTGCTTTTAAAATATTTAAATTGGAAAATTACATTGTAGAGACAACTTTCTTCTTATCTTACTAAAGTCTGAAAAATTTCGCTATGGATTTACAATTAATGGACTCTCCATGGATTCTCGGTGAGCATCTCGCACCGTCAATAATCCCAAGGTCTACCAAATAGGTTTTTTTCGCTCCTGGAGCTGCATCACTCGACTACACCCGGTCGGATTCTAGATAAAGGTCAGAATTGACAATAAAAATTAAATACAGAGTATTGATTGGCAAAATTAAAAATATTAGCCAAATTTAAAAATAAATTCAAAAATTCAAACTTTTTTCTAATGATTAAGCGTATAAGTTTTAACTTAAATTAATATCACGGGAATTTTTCAGACATAAAGCTAAACTAATCGGTCAACATTAATCAAAGGAGATGGCACAAGTTAAATAATTCATTTATTTTATGTTAGTTTTGCATTTTTGGTAATCTTATCCTCTATTGTTTTCTCTACACAACAGGGTAGCTTTCTCCATGACTCATCAAATTGGTGAAAATAACGGTGGCCAAAAGAATTCGAAATTGAGACCTACCACTGCTCATCTCACTCCTTATATAAGTAAAAAAACTAACCATACCACAACCTAATCGACTAAAGACTTATTTATAATAAAAATTACAACTTTCATTCAGAGGAGTCTCTCGAAAACTTTAGAATGCCATGACAATAAGAATACAAAATTTAGAGGCAATCTTATGCATTAGAGTTAGCAAAAAACTAACATCTGCTTTACTATGTTTTCTCTGCTTTTGGTCCATAGAGTAGAAACCAAAGGCCACTAAGGCTCATTATCCATGAAAAAACTATTTACTGGATAGCCTATACCACATACTCATGGGCCTAGGCCTAGAGTTCACAGAACCATCCGAAGTTAAACGGGACAAAAAAATTTTGGCCACGAGATCAAGTATTGGTCAATTTCTGATAACTCACTTTCCCTTAAAAAAATTTCCATTCACCTCCAGTTCTTTTCTGCAACTGGCCATTCCAGCATAATTTCCTGAATTTGGCAAGTACATTTGCCATACAAGAAGCTCCCCTACTGCTTCCTCCATCTCAGCTATCCTGATTTCACTTTAAACTTATAGTAACATGCATGCATAATTATCATCAAGAATTACAAAAATATTACTAATTAAAGAAAAAATAAAACGAGGGTCCACAGCAGAGAAAATTAGAGAAATTATGTTTATATTGGATAACATAATGAATGAGAAAGCAAAAAATGGACCCAATATAAACTTCTGCAGTAAAAAAACAATGCAGTAGATGCTGAACATTTCAGTTTAGGAATATCTCATTGGAACTATCTTCTCAAACTACTCTACAATCTTGCCCCCATCTGGGGAAAAAAAATGGCATGCCTTTAAATTGGTTTCAGATTGTCACTGCCATGGATAGTTAGTCCTACTATACAGAATTGAAATGGAGAAAACAAAAAAAGATTAGTTTCATCACAATTTAAATGAACCTATAATTCTGAGCCTGACTATAATGATTCTTCTGCTCCTGACCTCTGGCCAGCAAAAGGAGGCGGTGGGGGATCCACTGTCAATGTACCTTCTAATACTTTCACTACCTCGTTCATCGAGGGTCTCATTCGTTTGTCTGTTTGAAGGCACCAATATGCAATTCTAAATGCTCGCTCCAGCTCCTGTACATCAACCTCATCACCAATTCTTTTATCTACTGTCCTTTCCGGGTGCCCCTCAATCCATTCCTTATAAGTCCACTCACAAACATCCTCGACTCTGCAGCAGCCGGTTACTAATATCAACACCATCTTGCCAAAATCCTCCACATCTTTCTCTCGAACACTTGTTGCCCCAGAATGAACCATCCCCAACCCAAATTCACTCAGCTTGGCTTCAAAATTTTTATCCAATAATACAGTTTCACATTTCAAATTTCCATGGCTTATAAACTCCCTGCATCCTGTGTGTAAATAAGAAATAGCTCTTGCCACACCTAAACATATGTCAATCCTTCTTCTCCAGGTCAATCTCTTACTCAACTCATCATCTTCTAAATATTTATCCATAGAACCATGTTTGACATACTCATACACCAAAATTCGCTGACCTAACTCACAACAATAGCCATTAAGCTTCACTAAGTTTTTGTGATGTATGCTTCCTATTTTCGAAACAGCAACCCGGAACTTTCTTTCTTCTATTGTTGTTTCCAAGTCCTTAATTGCAACTAGCTGTTGGTTTGGAAGCACACCTCTATACATCTTTGGCCCAATTTGATGTTTGAAATTTCCTGTGATGTCCTTTATTTCAGCAAAGGACAGCATCATTACACCCTTTGAGTTGCTGCTCATGTAGGCTAAGGCAGCCTTCTTCCAAATCAAATTTCTTTTTCTATAGAAGTAGCAGCCAAGCACTAACTGAACCACAGCAAATAGAACAAATGTACCTGAGGCAGCTCCTATTAGACAAGGAATGCAAAATCCATAAGAGGGCTTAGCTGGAGATTGCGCTGAAGAAGATGTGACAACGTTGGGATTAACAGCTAATGGGTCATTACATGACTTAATAAAAGATATTGAACTTAAAGAGGGGCCTGAATACCCAGAGAAGTAAGGGGTGGTTTTCATCCGGCATTGAGCAGTTCCATCATTTGTGAAGGTTGCGGCCGTACAAATCGGATTCCTCATACACAAGGTCTTGCATTGCTGCAAACTAGTTAGGACAACAGAATCACTTGGTGGATAAATCTCATAAAGAAATGTATTGTTATATTCTTCCACATTAGAACCCTTGGTGCAATCTAGTGCGAAGCATTTTGAGTTAGGATCAGCTTTTATCTTAAATGGGCATCGGCATACAGCTGAACCTGATGCATTGAAAGCACAGACGCCATGTTGGCCACAGGTTGCAAACACATTGCACTGATTCTCAACAGCTTGCCAAACTGATCTCCAAGATTTCAAAGCATCAATCCATGAGTACATCCGCAGATTACCATCAACATCTAGCCTTAGTAACCGAAAATCTACAGTGTCATTATGATCTTCTCCATAGACAGACCAAATGGGTTCCGAAGTCTGGTTCACAAGTTGCAGAACTCCGTTAGATGTAATAACAGCACTGAGGTTCAAAGCAGACGGATTTTCACTATTCCAATACATGACATTACTTTCCCATCTTAGCTGTAACTGCCCTGAAGCATTCATGTAAAGACTATAATAACTTGACACAGAATTTTTGCTTGCAGCTCTAAGTCTTTTATAAACAGATAAATTCTGGCCGGGAAGAAGTGTATCAGTTGGATTGTCAAAGCTTTGCCAAATAACATCTCCCGCTGCATCCAGTAAAACAAGATTGCCATCGTCACGAAGAAGAGCTGAAACAACTGATTGGCCAGTTTTACTACTCCATACAGTGACTCCCTTCAAAGAATCAACCAAAACCAGTTCCCCACTTTTTAAAAGCTGGAAATAGGACTTGTTACCAACTGTAACATCAGCTCCAGCAACCCAAACCACAATTTGTTTACTAACAGGAATAGATTTAGAATTGAAACGAATCCCTACACTATACTGATTTGGCTGATCAGAAGAGTTAAAGAATCCAATAGCAAAATTACCATTAGGAGAAACCCATGAATCATTTTCCTCTACAGAAAGTTTTGAACCTAAAGAAATTTGTGAGTGGACCACATGAAATAGAAAGCACCAAATAGAGATAAATTGCAGAAGAGGTGAAACATGGGAGAATCTGTCGTGTTTAAGCATACTTAATATCCTTAGAAATGCAACAAAACAAGAAGCTTACAAAGCCACTAAATTAATCAGGAAGAACTTCAAATTGCACATTATGAGGCAAAACTCAAGGGAAAAACGCAGGTAAATATCTAGATTTTTAAGATTGAAAATAATGTGACTCGTAAAATAAGAGATTCAACTCAAGAAAGGGAACCTTTCAAAGGTTTGGTCAACGACCGACTAAAATTCAAGGCTAATGTATCACATTTCAAAGTTTATAAGGAAAAATCTTGCCCAGATCACAGAATTTCAAGGGCTAATGATGGAACAAGCAGAAAACAATGACAACGAAACAGATTGGAAACCTATTCAGAGTTTGGTACCTGAAAGTGGAAGTGAAGAAGCCAGAAATTCAAGAATCCGGCGTTGAGTGCCGCCTTGACCATAGCCAAAGTATCATATCTTTCCTATTGGGTCAGTGAACAAAACAGGCATGTGGGCATCTAATATTTTTGACCAGGCAAACAAGATTGATGAATATTTAAGTAATAAAATTGGGAAACTGGATGGCTTAGATGACCTGTACAGAAAGAGAACAAGGAAAAATAGTTCATATATATTTTTTTTAATGGAGGCAAAGCAAAAAAGAAAAAATTGGGTTGTGATAAAAATCGAAACTTTTTTAGGCACACATGGGACCCAATATTAGGCCAATGAATTTCTAGTCCTTACTACATCAATCACTTTCAGGAATTGAATAAATTAATTTCTAGACAATGATACTGATGAAAAACGTCAAAATTTTAAAAATTTATATATATATATATATAAAAGAAGGGCACTGTAACAACTGCTGCAAAAGCCAGGACTTTGAATAGCTGGTAAATCTAAAAGAAACAATCCATAAACATAAACTACAGAGATTAGAACCAACTCATGAAAAATGAACGGGGTTCTTATGATTTAAGTGAGATATTTTTTGTGTTCCTAAAAGCCAAATATTTTCCAGGAAAGACAAGAAACGACTTTCAAGTTAAGTTTTCTTTATCCTGAAAATAATTTTCCCGGAGAAACAAACACAAATACAGACTGGAAAGCAAATATTTAACAAGATAAGATGTATAAAAAGAAATTACCAGAAATGGTGAGAGACCAAAGAAGAAAGATATGGCGGATTTGAGACTGGAGAGGCAATGTGGCCTGGAAAAGAATTTGACTTTGAGATACTGAGAAAGAGAATCACTGGAAAGACAGAGCAAGTTGAAGTTACTTATGAGAGCAAGTGTACGTGAGTGTGAAATGGAATACAGTTTGCGACTTGTGAGAGAGAGAAATCAGAAATGATTTTGTGTGCTTTTTAATTTTTCCTTTTCTTTTCTTTTCTTTTCTTTTTCCTTTTTTTCTCGCAGTTTCCAATTTTTAATTTAATTTTCCGTTTTTGGTGTTCAGGCGAAGCAGCTTTAGATAAGGGACCATTCACTGGAAGTGCATGTCAGGATCCAATTGAATAATGACACGTAAGCCAATGAGGGAGTGGTTGGTGTCGGAAACTTTGGACCATTTGGTGTGGTGCCAAGATTGAGTTCGGAAATTTTAGTTGAGGAAATTATGAGATAGGGACATGAAAGGAACACCACACCCTTTTTATGAATTTTCACATTGAATTTCAAATTTTCAAAAGGGTAGTAAGTAAGAGTTTTAAAAATAATTGCATTTATTTATATTTTCAAAACTAACTGTTTTAAAATGAAATAAAAAAATTTGAAAATATTTTAAGTTTAACAAAACAAAATGAAAAAAATTTGAAAATATTTTAAGTTTAACAAAACAAAATGACTAAAATAATATTTTACAAATTAATTGAAATTGTCCAATTACTAGTATAATCTAGATAATTAAATGCTTATTTAAGAACTATCTAAAAATTTTAAACGATATACAAAAATGGACAAAATGAATAGTTTACTTAATTTTAAAAATTTTGTAAAAAAAATAAGTAAAATATTTTATTAACTTAATTTAAATATGATTTGAATTTAATTAATATTGATACAATGGGCAATTATAAAATTAAAATGAATTTTAAGAAATTTGCTTTTTTTTTTTTTCCTTTCTGCAATTACTTTTGCTTTGCCTATTGTATCCCACTCAAAATTGAAAATAAGCCAAAAGGCATTGAATTGCGTCACACCTAATGATCTGTACACAAGGATACAGCCAATGAAAACCATAGCCCCTCGTGTTAATGCTAGCTTTTTATGGCAGAAAAATATTATTAAATTAAATATAAAATATTACTGAGAATTTGTTTCGTGATATTTGGACAGTCAACCTTTGACCACTTAGCTCCACCTAAAATGGGGGAACTTCTCTATTGTCAGGAGAGCATCCAAAACCTCAATTTTTATAAATCTATAATTGTTAAATAATAAATAATTTATAACATTGATAAGAATTTAAAGTGAAAGTTTTTATATTAAATCAAATATTCATTTTAAATTAGTTAGATGTTTTTTGGCTAAATTTATACCATGAATTTTTTTTTTCCGCCAATTAGACCCAATTTTTTATAAAAAAAAATTAAAAAAACATACTTTTTTTAACAAAAATTAGTAATAATAATGACTATTCAAAATCACTAATAATCAAATTTTTTATTGTATTTTTAGCAAATTATATATAAGAATTCCTTTAAGGATAAACAAATACTTTCCGTTCCACTTTTATCGCAACATTTAATTTTTTTACAATAATTGAGAAAATAATTGGAATACATTGATTTTTTAAAAAATATATGGTGAAATGTCTAAATTGTCCTTCTTAAAATTAAAAGTTTCCCATTAAATTTTATTACAAAACACCTAATAAATAAGGACAAAAATAAAAAAAAATTAATATACTCTCAAAATCTTAAATGAGCACTTAAAATGGAATAAGTTAAAATGTCTATTCGTTGCTATTAAAGTGGAATAGAAGGAGCATAATATATGATATGCAAAGTATTTGAATTTATAAGCTATAGCTAATTGGTTTCTACCATGCCTTTAAACCATAAGAAATCTTGTTAATCCTTTTTCCAACATAAATTGCTTATCTTTAACTAATGACTAAGATGTGATCAATATAATAATGCATAATGTATAATTATAAAAGTAAAAGATGACCATATGATTATTTGAATTTGCAATTATACTTTGTTGTAATGCACCTATTATTAATTAAACCAAGCATAATATTGGCATCCAATGACTTAGCTCTAGTCAATGGTTGTTCCTTGCTTTTCCTTTGGAGTTAGGTTTTGACATTGTAAATATTAACTACTTATCCATATTTTTCCACCGCGACGTGCATTTTGTGATTATTGTTCGTCGCCCCGCTTCTATTTGCCTAGATGTAATCCAAGAAGGTTCAAGTCGGGTCAATGCAGAGGAAATGACTACATTTCCATATTATAAAGTATTAAGTATATTAAGTAATAAATAAGTAATAAAGTATTAAGTAATTAAGTAAATGTTAAGTAAATGAAATAAATAAAATAAAACTAAGTATAAATAAGTAAAATAGCTAAAATAGAATATAGATTTTACCACTTAGGTTTTGACATTGTAAATATTAACCCACTCTTAATATATGCTCTTATATGTTAAGCATTTTGTTCCTTAGGAAAATTTTCTAAGAGAGAAGATTGTTGTTGTTTAGATATTTGATTTAGGAAATGTTTTACCTAGATAGTGTCCATAGCCCTATTCATACAAACCAATGATAATAAAGTTTTTTTTATTGAAATGAGGGTATTTCTGACTATCCACTGAAAAAAAAAGTCGGAATACTTTTTAAAGAATCTTTACTGTCATTGGTTTGGTCTATTAGCGTGGTTATAAACTCGGTCTAGACAAATAATTTCCTTGACAATAATTTTCTAAATACTTATCACATTTGGGTATTTCACATTCCTTAAAATATCATTCAAGTTGTCTAAATTACAATAAATTATTAAGTGAATAGACTATATTATCCTTAATTTTTCTAAGTTACAATAAATCATTGAGAAATTGAATTAATCACTATTGATCATATACAAAAGATAAAAACGAAAAAAATTTACTAACTGTCAGTTGGTCTAGTGGGATGAGGCGTTAGATCCTCTAAGCGAGGCATTGGATCCGTTAAGCAACGTTCATGAATCAAATCCTGGCGTTGTGAATGGAAAAAATTGGGTTAGGAGGTCTCGGCTATGCCAGATACTGGGTTGGTTAAAAAAAAATGGAAAAATTTATTTATTATTTTGGATTTACCTTTAGTTCAAGACAATTAATCACTATATAAAAAGGTTAACTACTCTCAAATATGAAATGCATTGCAGCATTTACACTACAGAAACCCTAGCTGTAACAGCAAGAAGAATAAGGTCAAGGTTTATATGATTAAGAAAAGAAAAGTAAGACTCTGTTATAATAACAAGAAGATAATGTTTCTTTTCGTGCATTTTGAAAACAAAAAGAAAGCTGAGACTGAGATTCTTCTTTTCTTTTTTATTATTATATTTTTCATTTTTCCCTCAACAGAAGCATCCTATTCCCTGCATCCATTGAAGCTCGTGCATGCAAATTGCAAAGTGCCAACAGTAAAGCAACAAAGCTACTAATCTAATAGGATTAGTTAACTTATTAGGGAGGATAATTTTTTCTTATATTTAATTGTATTTAAAAATATTAAAAAATTCATATTATGAAATATTATATTGTTTGTATATAAAATATTCTGAGTTATTTACCGACGGAGTTATCTGAGTGGAAAAAAAAAATTTAAGTAAGAGGTGAACGACTCGAATCTTATAAATAGAGAAAATTTCCGTTGAGAACTACTTTTTTATAAGTCTAACACAACGTGAGCAAGATTATACTTAGCTAGCACAATGAATTAGGAAATATGTTATTTAAACGGGAAAAAAATATTCGAGTTATTTTAATGTTTACATAATTTTTATTTAAAACTTGCCCCTACAAGTAGAAGCTAGCTGTTGGAAGAAGAGGATCCTATGCATAATTATCAAAGGAATATTTGACTTATTGGTCTTTTTTTTTCTTTTTTCCTTAACAGGATATGTTATGTACAATGCTAGGCTGCAATCTTTTTTTCTTTTTTTTTTTTTCAAATATCTTCTCTTTTGACTATTAAATATTGATTTGTTTAGGTTGAATTTTCAATATTAAATCTGAATCAACAATTTAATAAACTGAATATTAAAAAGTAATATCAAAGTTGATGGTTGAATTTTTAAAGCCGCGGTATATAGTATTATTTTGTAATTGTATAGTTATATTTTTTCATTTAATAAGTTATCTAACTTATTGAATCAACTTCAAAAATAAAATTTTCTATTAAGATAAAATTTAGCTTATAAATTCAGATAAATAATTTTTTTAACTCAAATAAATAAATTTATTTCATTATATGTGAACGAATAAACCGTGAATAAGAGTCTTAAACTAAAACTTCATTGGCACTTGCTGGCCATTAATGTTTAATTATTTAATAATTGACAATACAAGATGGGACCAGATTTAGTATTAGAATATAAATACAAGAAATAACAAATATTCTTTCATAAAATTAAAATAAATCAAAATAATAAATTGTTCTTCTAACAAACAAGAACATAGAGAGACTATTATGCTTTTTCTTTTAATGGAAAATGAGAAGAAATTAAGGAAATTAAATTCCTAATTACCCTTTATTTTAGTCATTTCCTGACTTGATCAATTTGGATGGTTCAACTACCAAAATTATAAACATAATTTAGAATTTTATATCAGAAAAATGAAAACTAAATATCTAAAGTAGTTAATAAGTTCCCATCAAATGTATATATATATATGAGATCTGTTGACTTGTATGACCATTCCGTTTGTAAATAAATGATCTTATCCATAGATCCCATTGTGGTCTTGAAATATATAATAAATGGAAACAGGCAACGTCTAGTCGCCATCTCTATATCTGGTTACTTGTAAAGTTTTACGTGGTATTGGCCCTTAGTAGTTACTGCTTCTTGGGCAACCCTCTCAAAACAACTAAGAAGGATCCATTCGAGGAACACGGGGACTAGGTTGAAGTAAAGAGCCTCCCAAAAATGGCGGGGCTCTTTACTTCAATGTAAGAGTAACGAAAAATCATTTTACCTTTTGAGTTGGAACTTAGGGCGGTTCTCGAAAAAGATAGCGAAAAAAATGATTCCTAAAGTTGAGACTAAAAGGAATGTATATAACCAATCTTCCATAAATTCAATCGTGGTTTTAACAATTATAGCTCCCATACCTGTTTATTTGGGATCGTCTCCCGGATAAAAAAGAACAAGATTCAA